TTTCTTATTGGCCTTCCTGTTTGTTTCAAGGCCTACTGTGGATATAGGTGTCATACTATTCACCTGTTTGCTTAGTTTGGCTGAAGCTCTGGTGACTACGGTGCATGGTCTCCCATTACTTATCTTGGGATGAGAATCTATAGTCATTTTACTCCTAAAATAATACTGATGATTAAATGATAAGAGAGAGTGGAGTTTTGTCCAATAGACTGACAGCAAAAGACAGTAGAAAGCACAGAACAGAAAGATAAAGTATATAAGTAAAAGCTTTTGACTTTACCTGTAACTTTCGGGTTATTCGGCTTCACAACAATCACGTAACAGACCAACAAGTCCTGTATATTTGAAAGAGTGAGAGGGATGCTGCTACAGAAGTAGCACCTGAAGCTTGGGCAGTAGTTCGAGACAGTGGGAAGTAACAAACACAGGCTCGGTGAAGAAGAAATGGTTGAATAAAATTCGCCGGATAGGAAGATCAGGTTTCCCAAACGAATTATTCACAAAAGTGGATATTTCCTGTTAGACGGGAAAATGCACGTCGTATTCAAGGAGCGCGCGGTATGTTGCACTTTGAAAAAAGAAATTTATGTGGTTTCTTCATATGTAGCACTTGAAAATGTTCTGCGTCTAGGTGATCTTGGATTTCTTCAATTATTTCTGAAGTAATCACATTTCAATATCCAATATCGTTTTTACGAGCTAGTGCAAACCAATTTGATTTCTTTGTGCTCGCCTCTTGATTGTGAGGTAGAGGTTCCTGATCTTTGGTAAACGTCTGTGTAGCTCGTCCCGCCACTCGACTGTCGTAGCTTTGGTTGACTCCAACAGGAGTAGTGCTGGGATTAATTATATGGGGTTTGTAGTATGAAGTGTGTTAAGACTGTTACTACTGTGAATGGAGTTGATCCTTTCACCAGTTAGTCTTTCGGTATCGTCGTCAATAGAAAAGAGATAATAATAATAGATATAATTAGTGAAGGTATTCAGACTAACAGACAGAAAAAGAATAAGAAAACGTAACAACAGTCAGTCAACCAGTATATATATATATACCAGTAATAATGATAATAATAATAGGTGTAGTTAAAGCTGTCAGGAGAGTAAGACTGAAGGGAATGTGAAGAAGTAAAACGACCAGTTTAATTGTCTACCTTTGAATGGTATATGCGATTTTAAGGGGATAGGCCATTTGGATGAAGTCCTTGTGTCGCTGCATGGTTGTCCGGCCTTCGCTTAAAGGCGTCCACAGATGGTGCCATAGCTACATCTGCCGGTAAGGAATTCCAGGGACGGCAAACCCGCAGGGAAAAGAAGTGGGAGCGCACCTGAGTCCTTGCCCTCTGATGAGCTATCCTTCTAGGATTTCCACGAGGGAGCCTAAACCTACTCAATGGCAGAACACCTTTGTTTGGGTGATTCTGATCATTTGTTATTTTGTAGGCAGTAATTAAATCCCCTCTAAGACGACGGTAACTAAGTGTGAATAGGCCTAATTTCTTCAGCCTTTCATCATATGGTTTACTTCGGAGACCAACCACTCCTTTTGTTGCCCGTCGTTGGACTCTTTCCAAGAAGTTGGCGTCTCTTCTAAGCAGTGTGGGTGCAATGATATTATGCACTTCAAGGTGCGGTCTGACGTATGTTTTATACAACCTTAGAAAGAGCTCAGGAGTGAGTGCACCTAATTGTCTATGTGTAAAGTGTATGACCGCATATGCCCTCGCTACATCCCCGTGTAATTTACGCTTGTGTCCATTTTCTCTGTTAGAACTAGACCTAAGTCACGTTCTGACGTTGAGCAGGATAAGCATTTTTTGCACAGGGTGTAACTTGCATTCTGCAGTCTACAGGTGCGTAATTTTGTAGTGAGAGCTGTCTACCAGCCAATTAGTTGACAGTAATTGAGGTCAGTGTTTACGTATCAAATATTAGTCATGTTGTGCTGAGAGATGGTTGCTAGCCAAATTGGTTGACAGTAATTGTGGTCAAGGTCAAGATGGACAGGCGGATACAGTTAACATATAGATGTACTGACACAGCCACAAGAGATGCAAGGTTAACTTTGTGTGAGAAACAACCAATCAACGGACTGTAATTTCTACTAATATTAACCTACAAAAATGTGCATCAAAATCTATAAATATGTGTTGATTTTCCGTAATAAACGTTCTGTTGCCTGGCTCTTTCTTCTGTTCTTACAATTTCACTGCTTTGCACTTTTTCAGGTTGAAAGTCATGCCACTGGACATCGCTCCAGAAGCCTTAGATCTGCCCACAGTCTATCCGAGTCCTCCGGACACTTTATCGCCCTCCATATCTTCACGTCATCAGCGTATGGCAGAGTCGGGCAGCTTAGACGGCATGGTAGATCATTGATAAAAATCAAGAACATCAGTGGTCCTAGGATAGAACCCTGCGACACTCCTGATGACGAGGTGTGCCAAGATGATCGGACTCGATTGACCTTGTTGCAAAATTGGGGTTACAAAATTTCGGGTACCGCCTGAGCTTATCTGCATTTAATTGTACTGATTATGAGTGACTTTATTTTATATCCCAGCTAATTGTGCCATTTGTATCCGCTGCTATGTTGGTTTAGTAACAAGTTATGTTTCCTGCCGAATTTATTGAGAAGCTATTGTCTTAATTGGTTTAGTAGTTGTTGGTATTCATAACTCAGTTTCAGCATTAATTTCAGTTTTCACGTACTTGTAACAGTCAACTTTTCATTTTAAAACCAAAAGCATTAGCACTATGGTCATAATATGTAGCATTGTTGTGAACTTGTTTTTCAACTGGCTTTTTTTTGAGAGAAGATATAATTCCTACAGTATTCTGATTTCATAGACGTAATAATAATAATTTATATTTTCATATAAACATAAATTTACATGAAAATGCATGCCATTTTTACAGGCACGATCAAGTATGATATAATGACAAATAGTAGATTGTCTACAAGTTAATAATGTTTGAACAGCTAAATATTTGATATATGTATATAAATACACTCTTTGTCTGACCCATGTCGTATCATTATTGAATTAAACAGCAGTCCTCCAGGTTGCGCAGGAAAATCGACTTCGTTTCGTTTTCAACCCGAAGTTGTAGGCATACGATAGCCAACCAATATTAAGGTGAGTACAACGTTTACAAGTGATAGTAAGATTATCACTTTTTTTAAGAGTTCAAATTGTTGAATTATATAGTACAAGCAATCGGAACAGATTCTTATAATTGTTAATTTGTAAATCTTCCACGAAGGTCTCCATCGAAGTTGAGCGACAACCACGTGCTTGAACGCTATTTCAGGAGGAGGAGAAAATCCTGCACAGCTACAAAGTGGTATAAAATGCAATCATGAATAATACATTATTGGAAGTATATTTACAAGAAAAATACAAAAATAACCTAAATAGTACTTGATATGATGGTACACCTTTGCAACGTATGATGCTAACCATATTCGTTTTACCGTAGAAAACTATGACGTTTTCTATGAAAATAAAGTTATTCTCATACATGAGTGTTGTTTTTATCATCAGAGCAACCGAACTTTATGCGAGAGAAGAGTGTGAATGAGAAAAAAAGAAAAACAAAAGAGTAAATTTCAGCTTTACTAAAGGCCTAGGAAGTTGAGATAAAATAGAGTATAGTAGTAATTAGGTAGAAGGAATATCGTGAAGTATATAAGTGACATTTCAGAGAGAAGTGGCTTGAAGGATTAGAACCTGTTGGATATGGTGACCTGTAGGATGTCTGGTGAACTTGTGTATGGCCCATGGGAAAGCATCTTGACAAGAAACTGAGCAGGCTTTTAGATGTTAGGAGCGAAAGCATTATTTATTTTTACAAGCTAAATCTGTACAGTCATTATTGCTTTAGTTTGTTTTTTAAAATTTTTTTAAAGTCTAATTTTTTTATACATTCAGTATCTAAACTCATGTTTAATTCTCGAGCTGCCAAAATAATGCATGTTGCTGTCCTACAGATCGGAGCGATTCACATTTGTGACCACTACCAAATCTGCTGATCAGCATGCGCCACCCTCCCTCTTTTTTTGACATTAAGCTCTGAGGCCTTTTACAATGACTGCAGTTGTAATATTGGATTGCTTTGACTCCGTCCCAATCATACAGTATGCACCACATTAACAGCTTTCATGACAAGTGCTTCCCACTAGGTCACATGGCACAATAGTACCAGAGGACATTGTTATCAATATTATCATCACACTAGTGAACAAGTGGATTACTACAAAAGACTAAGAAATAAGGTTTCCCTTAAGAGTTATGAAGGATAAAAATAGCTAATATTAGAGCAACTAAGTTATATTCTATTTAGCAGAGTGATATGAGTAGTGGAACAATTAGTGATAAAGTTATGTAAAGTGGTCCTGAGTAAGGCGACTGGTTAGCAGAACTTGTTGTGCTAAATTTTCACGACCGATTTTATATGGTGTGCGTTACACATTGCAAAGTGACTCATCAATTACATAATGGAAAAATACTACATAATTTCAACAACATGAATTTTTTAGAAAATTATATGAAAATGGGTAACTGTTGACTGAAGATAGTCATTTCAACTCAAAATAGTACTACTAATATTAATAATATATTTGTAGCAGACGCCTAGGAAATTGTGTTTAAGAAGTATGAAGTATAGAAGTAGCTAGTATTACAGCAACTAAGTTGAAGTCTATTTAGCAGAGCAAAAAGTGTAGTGGAACAATTAGTGATAAAATTATGTATAATGATCCTGAAGAAAACAGCCGGTTAACAGAGCTAGTTATGCTAAATTTTCATGACCGATTTTCTTACGGTGCGCATTAGATATTGCAAAGTAGCCCTTCAACTTATATAATGTTAAAAATACTGCGAAATATTATAAAGATTATACGTTTCAGGAAGGTGTATGAGAAAAGGTGGTTATTGGCTGAGTAAAGTCATTCAGACACAAAAATAGCATTGTATTACTAACTGTATATACATATATGCCTAAAACAGTAAGTAGTGGTGTAATCCAGGGAAGTGTATTAGGCCCACTCTTATTCATAATATATATAAACAGTATCTGTGAATGCTTTAGTGTAGGTAAACCAATACTATATGCAGATGACTTAAAAGTAACGTATAAATGCAAGAACACAGATCTTGGAATAACAGTAAACGCCATACAGCAAGAATTAGAAAAAATGGATAGATGGTGTGACACCTGGCAACTCCAATTTAATGTCGAAAAATGTGGCTGGCTCTGCATAGGTTGCAACAATTTAGAACTTGACCTGACAATTCAAGGCCATGCACTTCAACGACTGGAATCTGTACTGGACCTAGGGCTGAAATATTCACATAACTTATCATTTTCTGAACATATCTCCAAACAAGTGTCAAAGTCACGCAGACTTATCGGCTTTCTACTCAGGAACTTCTACAGAAATGAGTCTAGAATTCTGTTGTACAAGGTTTGTGTGCGTCCTTTATTTGATTACTGTTCATTCATGTATAGTAGCATACGCATAGAGGACAAATTGAAAGTCGAGGGAGTGCAGAGGTACTTCACGTTAAAATTACTCGGAACTGAAAATGGTGCGAGCTACTCCACTAGATGTGATACCCTAGGACTAGAAACACTATGGCTAAGACGCCTGAGACTAAACTTGACACTTTACTATAAGCTTCTAAACCACTTAGTTTTTACCTCTACTAATGGCACTCGACTTTCAGATGACAATGGCTACAAACTAAGACACACTAAGGGTACAGTAGCTATCGAACAATGTAAAACAGCCACCAGGCAAAAGTTTTACTTGATTAGGTATGCACAGATATGGAATAAACTGCCAATGGAAATGCGTCAAGCAAGTACATTGGCCTCCTTCAAAAAGGTGCTTAATGACAAACTACAAGAGTTTGCAAACGATAGTAGTTCTAGTTCCTATCTGAGAGCCTCCGAAATTATAGGTCCATTTAATGTATAAGCTTAAATACTACACCTGTTGTTTTTTGCCTATATTTATAATTCTAGATAAAACATTAACGGTTAACATACGTATCCTCAAACAGACAAGAAATCTCGTTTGTGAAACTACTACCCAACGCAATAAGTGGAATAAAATGGACATAAACCGACAACATGAAAAAGGTATAACTCACCACAACATCACAAGGACAGATGAACGCTCGTTGGGCACCATATATCCCTCACCAAATGCAACCCACCTTTCCTTAGATAATGTGATGAACTTATATCCATAATGTTGCTGAGCAGTTAATATTCTCAACTCCTGTCGGAACAGCTGAAATTCATAAACCTTCCTAACGCTAAGAAAATACCCACAAGCAGTAGAAATCCATTAATTAATGCGTCCGAAGCTTATGTACTTACTCCCAACAATGACATTTCAGATCAAATGAGATAAACACATCACTGATTTCAAAATAACACATCAATGAACTATAATTCGAGGACTCTGCACACAACAAAGTTATGTACGAATATTTACTTCAAGCTTTATTTTTTTCCCAGGCACTTATAATCCATCCACCAAAGACCTGGTTTTTTTGTTAATGCGAAGACAATACTCCTGTATTTCCTGTTGTGTTGCACTCACTGACAATCTAGCAGATTTTCCCAACTTAGCACAGAAGTGATTGTATATAAGTGAAAATGCTGTTTTATACTACTGGGATTAACATTTATCAAGTGTATGTATAATCTCCAGCGAACATGTAAAGCATATCTTGCTACTGCCTGTAAATTGTGATTGAATTATATGGTTCTATTTCTGTAACAATTTGATGATGCCTGTAAACTGGCGTCCCTCATGTACTGTACTATGAGAATAAATTTATTTATTTATTTATTAAAAGATGTGGTTGCTAATATAACTTTCTAGAAGTATTTATATTAACCTAACTTATTGAATTTTATACAGAAAGGAAAATCAGTAAATTAGTTAAACTTTCGCTGCGTAAGTAGTAGAGTCGAGTTATATGTAACTGACTGAGCTGAAGACTGGGCCGGCTTTTACTTACCATTTTACCAACATTTGTGGTACTTTACACAAACTAGGGTGGACATGTTAATGTGTCTCTCTAGGCTCCGTTTGAACCCATTGGGGTTTTCACAACATCTAATTTCAGATGGTAGTTGGTTCCAAAGAGTGCAATATTTATTGGTGAAAAAGTTTGCCCTAATGGATTTTCTGTGGGTAGCCACCTTGACAAGGTAGTCGTGGTTTCGCAGCTGATATGATTTGATATTTTCACACGTTATGGATAAGTTACTATAACAATGGTTCCTAATGACTTTGAATAGTATAAATAAGTTGCACTTCACTCTCCTTAACCACAGAGGTTCTAAATTCAGACGCATACACCTGTCAACATATTCCACTGGTTGGTCAAACCCTATAATGCGTTTCGTTAGGAATCTCTGAACACTTTCGATTTTTTTTCGGTCTGCAGACCTTAAGAGGTTTGTACTTAAGGTTAGATCTGAGTATGTTATCCCGAGATCTGTGACAGTGTTCAGTTTCGAGAGGAGCTTACCGTACATATATAGGCACATTCTTGGTTTCCAGCGTCCAAGGTGGGCTATACCGCACTTGTCTGGGTTGAAAGTCAGTTGCCACTTTTCGCTCCAATCGCCTAGATTGTTTAAGTCATGTTGGATTTTGCTTTCGACGCTCATATCATCGCACCCATAATCATATACTTGTAAGAGTAGGACTTGGGATTTATTTCGACCTAACAATAACCGCTCTTACAAACTCCTTCACCGTTTATGACCCTAATTAGTACTCTGCCTACGTGCAAGTACTAAAGAACGGAATCAAAGTTAAACTCGAAATGGCAAGTGTGACTGGACCGGAATTGTATTTACACAAAGAGATATGGAATTTGATAAGAAATAAAAAGTACACACTTATCTGGAGGTGAGACGGTTGTCAGCTCGTAGAGTGTACTTGGTGAAAGTACAGCGAGAGAGCGAGGCAGTAACCGTACAGGAGGATCAGGAGTACCAAGCGGAAGTGGGGTTAAAGGTCAGGCTGCGTTCATTCAAACAAAAGTTCAAAGGTACAATGTACACTACAGGTTATCCCCCCCTTAGAAGGTTGGTGGGATAACAGCAAGCTTCGATATATAAAAGTAACAAGGTAGCGTACAATAATAGTGAATGGACAAGAAAATGTGAAGACAGTAATAAAACAGTTGTTTTTCTTTTTTTTAAATATATATGTTGAGAAAGGAAAGAATGAAGGAAAAAAATTAAGGCAATTTATTAGCACTATGTATATGACCAATGGAGTAAGATGAAATATAAGAAGGAATAACGCTGGTGCCTTGGTGCGGTTTTTTTTAAATTTTTTTTTAACATCGTTTATTCTTACTTATCTTTTTTATTTTTTATCTTTATATTATTTATTTTTTTATTTTTTTTTACGACATACTATTACGGACTGGGTCATGTGGAGGTGTGATGGTTTACCTCCGTTACCCACGTTGTTATAACGGGAAGGTGGCTCATTATGTTTAAGTTTCCTCTTAGACTAATGCTCCATCCTTCCTTATCAACTAAAACTGGTAGTAACATCAAAGGCAAGCAGTATACCAGCGTATTAGGAGGAATAAAGTAAAAGCGACAGAAAAGAATAGAAGAAGAGGTTAAGATTTAAAAATCAGCATAGGGTGTTAACAAAAACTTAAGAGGAATAAATGCGAATGAACTAGTGTAACATGGCAGTAGTACGCCAAATTGAAATAAAACAAGGGAAATTGCTAACACTGTGAAAACTTATGCAAGGTACAGAGAAGTGTGTGTACAACCGATAGCTATGAATAAGTAAAATCACCATTTGTTAAAAAAATGTTGCGAGCTGTATAATTAAAGTGATGCAAAGTAATTACAAGAATCCATGCCCATGGTTCTGGTACATATGCCCAAGTTGCCGTCCTAATGCAGCCTCGTGTAGTTCCTCGAAAGGTACAGATGGCATAGAGATATCAGGAAAAAACGTGAAACGTTTTACTCCCACCAACTCAGAAATCAGCACAATTGCATGTAAATCGGGGATACCAAAATCCACACCGGTTATACTTGCAATTCCTGCCATAACTGCCCCAGACACAGAGGTTGAAGCACCAAGGGTACCTGTCGCTGGGAAAAGACCCTTACCGTCCACCAGTAAAAGTGGCCACAGCACTGCGACACATATTAATACCCAGTTGCACCAGACGAAACAAAACGGTCCTAAGGGGGATGACAAATGTGCGAGGACCGAACCTAAATCCACGGTCAGTCGATCAAACTGCGTTATCCTCTTTAATGTACCAGACTGTAGCAGTAGTCTGCTGGAAAACAGGGCCCTGTTTGATCAGGAACAGTGGTCCAACTTATGTAGCACACTGGGTCTGGACATCCACGAAACTGTGCAGATTGTATAAGGGCACTGCTGCTCCTCAAGGCAAACCATCCCCACTGAGGGTAACACTAGGCTCTGCCGAAGATGCCGAAAAAGTTTTGTTGACTTCCCAAGTCCTTTCTATAGGGAGGACCTGCAATATACGTGTTAGGCCAGATAGGCCATGGAAGGAAAGACAGATGGCAAGGGAGTCGCCAGAGCTTATTCCTTCTGCCTCCATGGTTGTCCACGGCATTCCCGAACTGGAAACTGGGAACGCTTGTGAGAAGCACTGTCACGATGTCCAGCAATGGAGATGGTTGGCATCCCAGATGGGTCTGGGAAGTTCAGGGGCTGTCTCTATTTTTAGACTGCCTCGACCCACTCACCTTATGTCAATTAACACTCCACGTCTGTTAGCTGTCAAGTTCAGCTCCCGAGACCACCTGACTACTGCTCTCCAGAGATGGTACGAGACCAAGGACAAGGTCAGCAGACACATTCGCTGCTGCGAGAGCCAGCCTCGTACCCAAAGGAGAGGACAAAACGTTGCCATAGAACATCCCCAAACCCTAGTCACAATACAGCGGTGCAGCACGGACGATGATAGCCAGTGTCATCCAAGTGCTCCGATTGAACTAGAAGAAAAAAACGCCAACAGGCCGGTTCCCGGGGAATCGGCCAACTAGTTCGTAGGATAACTCCTCAACCGACAGCCCACATCAAGTCAACCACCCCCCAATACGGGGACGTGGTGAGACTGACTACCAGTTGCCTGTACAGTAATGTGAGAGGTCTAAGAGGCAAAATAGCTGAACTTAGATACCTACAATCACAGCTGAACTCCAAAATCATAATACTGACGGAAACCTGACAGCGAAGTCAGTATAAATGATATGGTCCTTGTCAGGCGAGATAGGGATCTGAAAGAAGGAGGTGGAGTCGCCATATACGTCGACAAACAGCTCAGATGTGTCCATGCAATCGACCCTCCCCTCATTGAGCTCCCTGACTCCATATGGTGCCATTTCACCGTTGGGTACTGTAAGTATCTAGTGGGCAGCATTTACAGATCACCTTCATGCGGAGCAGACCACAACTAGGTACTGCTGAATGCAATTTCAGCGACACACGACATGGGTTATGATCAAATTGTCATAGCTGGTGACTTCAATGCCCCATCTCTTAACTTGATGACGGGATGTGCCCAGGACAGATTTGATCGAAATCTGCTGCATACCATCACGGAGGCCGGATTCACCGAAAATGTCAGAATGGATACTAGATGGGGCCCAGATGGGAAGTCTTCTAGACTGCATTATGTGCTCACTAGTGACCAGCTACTAGTGGAAAACGTTCAGATCACGACTCCCATAGGTAGTAGTGACCACGCGGTCATAACATTCGACGTAGTCCTCCGCGAGCGTTTACAGTGGGACAATACACAGCCCTATCTGTGTTATAACAAAGCCAATTACACCGAAATGCAAAGACTTTTGTCTGAAGCAAATTAGCCTAAAAAATGGACAGAGCTAACAGTAGAAGAACACTGGGGAGTGGTAAAGGAGATCATTCACCAGGCGGTCTCAGACACTGTTCCTTTAGTCACACCTAAAGCTGGAAAGCAACGTTCATGGCTAAAAAGGGGGACGCAACGCCTTCTAC